CAATTAAACCTTTAGGGACTTGACCTGAATATAAGCTAATTAGGAGAAGTGAAAAATCCTTGCAAGTCATGCTAGTGTAAACGATATTAATATAACACACAGCAAGTTTGCAGGTTTACGGTATTAGTCAGAGAGCTAGTTTATCCGTTTCATCAAAAACAAAAGGAGTGAGGCTGACATCAGTCTGAATTACAGAGGCCCAAGAGGGGATTGGTGAAAAAAACTAACTTCCTAAATATAAAACCTTCATTAAAAGCAAATTGGAACAGCAAGGTGTTTTTAACCATTCCACTTTACTCTGAAACCCCTGAATAAAACACAGTGCTACTAATTGCTCTTAGAAGCCCCTTAATTTGCAAAATAAGTATTTTGTTTGTAAATTATGCTTGTTAATAATACAGTTAACCCATGAAAGCCTCTAGATTGTTAAAGAACATTTACGAACAAACAACAGAAGACCAAAAGACGACCAAGAGAAGACAGGCAGAGTAAGGTTGAAAGAATATTGCACGCTTTAAAACATGATATATCTGTCAATTACCCATGAAACGGAAAGATAGGAACAGGGCAGCCCATCTAATCTGATTTTACCAGTCAATACTACCGCACTGGGATGGTTTATGCTGTAAAACTCTAGATTCGTTCCAAATCAGAACCCAGGAGAAGACATTCTCCCTCCAACATGGCTGGGATGACATGGTTTTTACCAGATGAATAGGGAGTATTTTAAATTTTCTCCAAAAAACATGCAGCTGTTATTACAGCAGCTATGAATACGAAATAAAAAATAAACTCTTGCATTTCATTTCTATTGTGATAGACGCCATCTATCTTTATGGGTCTGGAAGATCAAATCAAACTTCATAAAAAAGACACAGCAGTAAAAGCCTGGTATTACCTAGAGGTTAGTTTCTTAGAAATTACAAGGTGCTTTCCTGGGACACTTAGAAGACTTGCTGGTAACTTTCCCAGTGCTTAGAGCTTGCTCACTCAAAATCTACCAAAAACTTCAAAAACTTAGAGCTTGCAGGTAACCTTCAGAGAGTGTTACTTATCCTTATCTGAAATGTCCATGGAGCTACTTTTCCAGGAAATTTGGCAGATGCTTTTTCAGAACTTACATTTCTTCTGGTAAGTTCAGGAAAATTGCCTTTTTCCAGAGGGTAACCTTAAAGTTCCTAAAAGTACCCCTTTACTTAAAGGAAGGTAAGGACTGTATCAATTAGTGCAAATACCTAAAATAAGTTAAAATTAAATACAATAAAAACTAAACATGAAATATCAAATAAAACACCAAAATGTTGTCAATGACGGCCATAGTGTAAAAACAGAGGAGAGAGAAGCTCACCATTGAGAATGTAGTCCGTCAAGAGACCAGGCACCTTGTCGCTGTCGTCTCTCATAGCTTGCAAAACTAGAACAGATCAATAAATCAGCAGCGATTTGGCTTAAAGAAGCCAAACATCAGACTAGATAAGAGAAGTCTTACTCTTGGTGAGGATCTGGAGGTCTTCTACAGATGGAGGTAGTCCCTTCTTCTCGTAGGGAATGACTGTGGTCAAATACTGCAAACCGTAGGAGAGCAGGGACACAGGAAGGTTAAACAACTATTTGTTAAGAAAAGATTTGTGATGTAGGGAATCTTCAATGTCCTCAGTCAAAAAGAAAAGAAGGAAACAGAAAAAAAATCCACTTTATGACTATATGGGGAGCAGAACCTGTCTTTCGCTGCAGCCGCTGCCAAATGTTTGCCGAAAGCTGTTTTGAATAACAGAGGAGAGGCCGTCCATGCTGAAGCGCTAAGAACGAAGGAAGAAAAGTGAAGAAAAAGATGAAAGAGAGAGGAAGTTAAAACAGAGAGTGACTCAGGAAATCCAGGAAAGTTTGGTCGCCCAACAGAAGAAATTAAAAACATCCCACCGTCAGAATGATACTTAAAGCTTATTTACTGATCCTGGTGTTCTCTCTGGGAGACCCTGAGCTGGACCAGCTCCACCTTTGAGCTTCTTCTTCTTCCTCAGCGACTCTCTGTGTTCCTTCTGCCGGTTCTGCACGTCAATGAGGGCCGAGATAAAACTGTTCTTCACCTCCTTTTCGAAGTCCAGCTCATCTCTGACAGCCAGCTGCTGCACCAGCTCCTCAGAAAACCTCCTTATGTTCACCTCTGTCTCTGTCAGACGGTCCAGCAGCTCCGCAGCACTCAGGGAACTCAATCCTGCAGCCATGAAACAAATACACGCTGAGTAAAAAGTGCTTGAAAAGAAGCCGCCGTGGTTTGCTGCAGAGTCCACTCACTGTCCTTGAAGCCAGGGCTGCTCCGCTGGATGTCAACAGAGAGCATGGACAGGTCCGACTGGGAGGGATTACCCTCTGCATCAGGTGAGTCCTGCATCATTTCCTCGATCTCCTCAATGACCTGCACAGAAAACAAAACTCTTAATGAGGATCGGTGAAAAATAGAGCAAAGTGACCTGATTTCATACCTGATCGGCTGTGACAAGAGGTTCCTGATCTAGACAGGGAACGATGATGGAGTGCATGTCCAGCTGCTCCCTCAGCTCATCTTCGTCGGACAGCTCCGCTGCATCATCTGTCTCTCTCTATTCAGGGACAGGAAAGTGGGGGAAGGGCATTTAATCAGACACAATAAGACTTTGTGAGATAAACAGAGCAGGGATTTGATGGCAGGATGAGGGGAGGGGGAAAAGCGGGTGGTAGGAGGACGTGGTAGAGCTGCTCACAGGTCTCTCCTCGAGGTTGCATGTAGAGATGTAGAGGGAGCGCGTCCGACACCGTTTCCAGTCCACCGGCATCACCTGGCCGTAGTTGGAAGCCAGAGCTTTCCAGATCCTGCAGGAGAAAGAGGAAACAGACATCATGCTCTGCAAGCAGTTTCTCCAGGAGTTCTGCTCTTCTTTTTTTTTTCTCCACCATGATATCATCTAGGTATGTGGCTGCAAGTCAGGATAACAGCTGTGACGCATTCTGAGGAATATAGGTTCCTGTAAGGGTGGAGTTAAAGATCTCAATGTTTCCTTAAAAACTATTTCTGTTTTTCAGAACTTTAACAGATTTGTCTTATTATTACAAAGCAAATGTAATGTATTGAAATGACTTTTTTTTTAGGTATTTTTAGTTGTTTTAGTTGTCTACAATTTTTACATGGAAAAATTTTAGTCTAAACCTTTACTGCAGCCCTGGGTCCATGTTTAAGGATGCTATCCTGCCACTTCAGGCTTAATCTTTCAGGTTTCCAAGTGAAGCTCCATCAGTCTTATAAACAATTCTTGCCTGATTCCCTGTCTTTGCTACAGAGAAGAAACCCCACGTCATGATGCTGCCACCGCTGTGTTTAACCATGATGCAATCAGGGTGACTTGCAGGATTATTTTGTTGTGTTTTTTTTTTTTTTTTTTTATATTTTGACTCATTGTGTGTTACGAGAGCATGTAAATAAATTGTTGGTGTTTGCTGGGTATGAATCCTTCTGCAATGCATTTTATGTGCAGAAGCAATATTGTATTGAACAGTCCCCAGTATGTGCTGATGGTCCTACATAACCTGATGATGAGGATAACTCTGTTTTCATCCCATCCAGCATCATACATGTCTAGATTGAGATTATATGTCTCTGTGTGTTTTTTAAAGCATGTAGTTGCATATGGATGCTGCTGCTGGCAGGCCGATCACAATCGGTCACTCACTCGTCTTTCTCCAGCAGCGTCTCATCGGTGAAGCCGCTCACTGGACCGATCATCTCCGCTTTGGCTTCAACGTCTCCAAAGCATCCCGATAGCCTCTCACCCACGCCGTGAACCGGTTCCTCCGTGGACCTGCACCCACGGGATTCCTCCGGGGGACCGTCAGTCTGTCCCGCAGGATCATCGCGGTCCAGGAGGATCTGAACCTCCGTTTCCTCTGCGGAGGGACGGAGCGCCGCTCGGCCGCTCAGAGACACCGAACCTGCCCTCAGATCCTGCAGGTTCGGTCGGTTATCGTCGAAATGTGCGGTTGGCGCATCCATAACCCGGACCATGCTAACCGGCCCGGGTGAATGATGGGTTTATCGGTGCAGGAGCTGCAGGCCTCATCCTCTCTGTGTGTCTGATCCAGGCTGCAGCACCGGCTGGGCCCACTAGGGGTCACACCAGCATGTTTGCATCTAATATTTCACCAGATTGATCACAACAAACAAATAAATCATGCTTTTCTCCGTTAATCCATTCATATTTTAACTGAACCAGGATTGCACTTTTCTGTTAACCTGCTTATTTGACCAGAAAATAACTTTTCTGTTAAAAATCACATGATTATTTAAATCCAATAATCAGACAACTGGAACAAAAACCCACAAACCTGATATATTATTATGCATGTAATGGATTTATTGTTATTTTTTGGTTGTTGTTTGTTTGTTTTTAATAAACACGCATTTTTCTTTTCATTTCTTGTTGTTACATATTTCATCCAATTCAAAAAATATTAAAACGTATATATTAAACAAACAGACAAACAAACAAAAAAATCATTAAGCTGTATCCTATATCTAATGAACTGCTGCTAAATTATGGAAGCAAATCGTTACCATATTTCAAATGAAAAAGCATTTTCAGAAATGCTTTTTCATTTTAAGAATGTGGCTGCATTGTTTGACTCATAAATGAAATTAGTAATCAATAATCCTGTTTGCATTTTCATTTTGTTCTTTAACACTGCTCATCCTTTTACTTAATTAAAATGAAAAAGAAAAAGACATTTGAGATTTATTTTCAAAATGTACCCCAGCAAATACATACCAAAATTCTATTTGAAATGTTAAATTTGAAAATGAAAAAGCCTTTCTGGAAAGGCTTTTTCATTTGAAATATGGTAATAATTTGCTTTCATACTTAAAAACAATATAGTATATACTGAGGCAGTGCGACCTCTAGCGGCTGATATTGGAATCTAGTGTTAAATGGCTTCTCTGTTGCCAGTGACAACAGACTGTAAACAAACAGAAATAAAACAAAAGAGAGGAAGAACTGACAAAGTGTTTCTTTTAAAATGAGCTCTCCCTCATCAATGGAAAGGAAAACGAGGCGCTCTCCTCTGCAGGGCCCTCTGATGAATGAACAGGGGTAAGATTTTTATCAGAACCGCAGCTCCTGGGTGCAAATTTCTTAAAATATTCAAATAGAGCATTTAGATATACTGTGTCCTTTTTGGCCTGCAGGGAAGATAGGAGTGTGCTGTTCAAGAGGAACCAGCTGCAAGGTATGACACCAGCAGAGCAGATGAATCAAGTGGTGGAAGAAGCCCTGAAGAGAAATATAATTATTCGTCTATTTCTAGAGTTTCACACATCAGCATGTTAAAATAGATCTGCAGTTTATTATAGTTACAATGAGAGAATCAGGCTATTCATTTTACACTATGTAGGCCTACTTTAAATACAATTTATTACCTTTTTCTGAGGTAACATCAGCGTCTAGTAATAGAGATGTAGTTACTGCTATTTGGCATTCTGGGTTTCCCTGCAGTTCTTGAGCTTTTGAGATTTTCTAACCTCCTGTCCACTCTGCACAGAAAACAATTATTATCCTTTTAATGCCAACAGTATAATACTTTTTAACACCTATATAGACCACATATTTTGATGAGTGATTGCATTATTGTCTAATAATTAGGGTAATGGCTCAGTGGGTAGCACTGCTTCCTTGATGCAAGAAGGTTCCAGGTTCCTGAGCATGCGTGGGTTCTCTCCGGGTACTCCGGCTTCCTCCCACAGTCCCAAAAACATCACTGTTAGATTAATTGGCTCCTCTAAATTCTCATTAGGTGTGAGTGAATAGTTGTTTGTCCTGTGTGTCTCTGTGTTGCCCTGCGATGGACTGGTGACCTGTCCAGGGTGTACCCTGCCTCTCGCCCATAGGCAGCTGGAGATAGGCACCAGCACTCCTCGCAACCCCAGAATGGATCAAGCGTGACAGAAATAGATGGATTAGGCTAACGGCATAGCAATAAATATCCTTTAATATATCTATTGCACTGCATTTTTAAATATATCAGCATTTTTTTCCTACATTTTACACATGTTACAATAATAATAAACCATCTATCGATCTTAGAATGCATACATCTTTCAACCTTGTTAAAATTGAAAAGTAATTTTCCTTATATTTTCTCTTTCAGAGATCCAGCCTGTTCCTGAATTTAAAATCAAATAAATATATTACTCCATACATAACATATTAATTTGCATATATGGTAAGCTTTTTTGAAAGGAGTCAGCTGCGGTGGTTTAAGCATGTGGCTGCCTCCCTTCTGAAGTTTACCTGGCACCTCCCTGTGGGGAGATACACTGAGGAAAACCAAGGACTATGTCCCCTGTGTATCCCATCTTGCCTTGGAATCCTTTGGATCCACCAAAATAAGCTGGCTTTTTGTTTTGTTTTGGTTTTTTTGTTTTTTGCAGGGAATGTGTTGGTCTTCCTACAGGTACAGGTGTCATTAGATGTATAGATGGACATCTATGCAAATAAGCAATATTTTTAACCCAATCCTTATTTAAACAGACAAATGGTCAAATTATGTAATCCGCTAAACCTGATTCTAGTAAGAAAATATGCATAAGACTCCTTATGATATTTCCAAAGGTGTTTTAGTACAAGGGATATGATAATTTTTTACATTATTAACATCCATCATATTATGGGGTTCATTAAACAGTTATCTTCCTACCTATATAAAAATTATCAGTGTGAAAATAACTAACACTTATACAAGATCTATCTTGTCAAAGGCTTTTTACATAAACTCTTACCATTTATGTTTTTAATACATATTCAACATTTTAATAATATTATTCTCCACCACTGGTGGGTGGTAACTCTTAAAATCTTTCTTCCTCTCCTCCACCTCACACTCCTTCCAACATAACCTCCTCCTCAAAGCCCAGAGCAACCCTAAAACAAGGCATCATTTTTGAAAGTAGTTTAAAATACATCTGCTTCTGCCTTGTTCAACAAAGCACAAATAATAATTAAACTGATTTTTTTTGCATCTTTTGACTTCAGATTCTCCCCCGAGTGACTTTGAGCTCATGGCTGCCATGATGCAGCGCATTACTACACTGGAGAACAGAGTGAGGAGTCAAGCCCAAGAACTAGAACAGCAGGTGGAAAAACACACACAGACTTCTTTTAAATCAGCAGAACATCCACCATACAGGCTGAAATCTAATGTTTTCTCTGCATCCATCTGAAGGATGAAATCATTTCAGTTTTGGAGGAGCAGCTGAGATCTCGGGGAGAGTCAGGTATCTGTGCATAACAATCTCCGACCTGTCTAGGTTTGGGTTGTTTTTCTGGATAAAAGATATTCTCTGACTGCTATCTGTCTTCAAATAGATTTAGAGAGTCCGTCATGTAGCAGAGAAGATCTTGAAAAAAAGTGCCAACTGCTGCAAAATAAACTGCAGGAAATGGAGGTAAAAGTATTGAACATTGTTGTGCAGAATCATTCACATCCTTAACACTTTTTTTAAACAAAAGTTTATGTATTCTATCAAGGGTTTCAGTGAAAGACCAATAAAGATCGATGAGAAAAACGATAGGAAAGAGGAAGAATGTTGTTTAAATATTTTTTACAGATATAAATCTTAAAAGTATGGCATGCTTTTATATTCATTTTAATTGTCCTAATTAAAACCCTCAGAAATTCAACTCTGGAGGAGCTTCAGAAACCAGGAAAAATGTTTGTTTTTTTTGTACTTTACAGATCTTCCATTTAAAATAGATTTGGAAGAAGAGAGTCGTTGCTAAAAAAAAAAACAATCGTTTCCCACAATGAAACAGAGGTGGCATCATCATGCTGTGGGAGAGCCAGAGTAATTAGGAAGATAGATAAAGCTAAATATGTGGCAGTCCTTCAAATGAACCGAGACTGGGGTGAAGGTTTACCTTCCAGCAGGACTGGAATGGTCAACTCAAATTCCAAGTCTAAATAGACTAGTCAAGGATTGGCCGCAAACTCAGTCCTTAGATATGTAAAACTGGTAGACACACATTAAACGCTGAAGCTGTAACTGCAGCAAAATGTGACGTAAAATGTATTACTCATGGATTTAAGCCCAAATGTGCAGTTTTTAGATTCTGGTTAACTGTTGAAAGGCGTGAATCTTAATTTCTGTTGCATTTCAGCACAGCAGAGTAAATTGAAATGACTGGTTCTTGCAGATCTTCCTGAGTGACTATGGTCTGATCTGGGTGGGAGACAGAGACTCCAGTGACTCCGAAGAGAGCCAGTGTGCTACAAGCTCACATGGTTTGATTTTGTTTAGTAAACTTTCAGCTTTTAACCAGTGCAAATGATTTTTGTCACCCTTATATATGTTTTGTTTTTCCTGCGCAGGGTTACCTACTGAAAAGGGCTTCCAAGTGAACTTTGACCTTGTTCTGCAGAGGATCAGAGAGCTGAATGCTCTTGCAGGCGAAGAGACTTTCGTGCAAGTAACCGGAAACAGAGCCAAGCTGGTGAAGAAAGATCCTATTCAGCTGAAGCTCTACAAAAACGGCATCGTCATGTTTGATGGTCCTTTCCGCTCCTATCAGGATCAAAGCACCCAGGTTAGCCTTCTGGGCCTTTGATTAAAACACCATTGAAATTCCCCTTAGATTATTTTACACCTAAAATTTTGTTTTTTATTATATTTACAGCGGTGCATGGAAGACCTGATGGATGGCTACTTTCCATCTGAGCTTCAGCAGAGATTTCCAGATGGGGTACCTTTGGAGGTTTGTCTCAAAAGGCTTTTTCTCTTCGGGCAAATGTGAAGGTTTCTCACCAGAAGTTCATTGTTCAGGTTCATGACCGTCGAGACGAGGAATTTATGTTTAGAGAGCCGTGGGACACAATTCCTGGTGAGAGACAAGCGGTTTATAGGGATGAATCAACTAATTCATTTGGTTTTTTGCCAGGTTAGTTCGGAGTCTGTCTCTGTTTGGATCTACAGCGGAGGACTGTTCATTTTTAAGGTTTTAGTTCTGATTCTCAGGTGGGAGGCTGACCACAGATCAGTTCCTCAGCAAGCTGCCAAAGGTAGTAGTGAAGGCTGGCAATGTGATCCACATCAGGAGCTCAATGAGGAGAACTCTGCAGGTGAGCCTCAGACCCAAATATTGTTCTTCAGCTTTACACCAAAATCACCCCAGTTCTTTCATCAGGGTGCTTCTGAGGCTCAGTGCAGCAGCTCAGAGACGCTCATCAACACACCAGCGCTCCACTCAGTGAAGGGCAGGTATGCAAAACACTCCGTCAGAAACCATGAAATGAGGTCAGCTCCCGCAGGATGATGTTTCATTCAGAAATCCTCCAGAGCCTGATTTTATGAAGGAACTCTGTGTTTAAGAGGCTAAAGGGATCACTGGGTTTTGCCTTTTAAGAGCCTGATTAAATTCTGGGTTTACCCATGTTGCCTGATGACGCCCATTCTGGAGATTACTGCTGTGCTGTGATTTTTAAAAAGGGGGCAGGCTCATCTGGAACAGCCCAGGATTATATTTGATGACATCAGCAGCAAAATGTTGCTGTTGGTCACTTTTCCTCTGTCTTTTCCACAGAACACAGATGAAAAACTGTGAAAAAACTGTCCAAGCTCTCATCACCCTAAAGTTGAAATCAGAGGATGGGAATCACATCTATGTCATGAAAATGAGCCCCTCAGAAACAGTTGGCCAGCTGCGAGCCTATCTGGACATTCACAGGTACAAAAAGCTTCCTTGTATGCAGACACCTGACGTTTGTAAGGGCTTTAACTCTCCTTGCCATGTGGCTTTTTGGGTTTTCTCTGCACTACAGGGGAGCAGGTCAGCCTGATTATGACATCATCAGTGCATATCCACCCTGCAGCTTCAGCGATGATGGCTGCACACTCCAGTCATGTGGACTTTCATCAAATGCGACTCTGCTGCTGCGTCGCAGGGAACAAAGCAAGCAGTAAACACTAAAGAGTTTGAGCTTCTCTTTGATTTTCTGGATCCTAAAAACATTTGAAACTATAAATGTTATATTAGACAATGTTTTAATATAAATGCTGATGATGGGTAGGAATAAATGAAAAAGTGCCAGCGCCTTGTGCTCACAGTCTCACAGACGATCATTAAAATACATATACATACAAAGATGTTTTTTGTTTTTTTTTTATGTTAAAAAGTTTACTGTCCTACAATATCATGTGTCTACAGGGGCCAAGCTGTTGCATTTTAGAAGCAACTGATGCCCTGTTCTAAATATGGTGGAGGATCTGTGATGCTGTGGGGCTGGTTTCTTTCCAAAGGTTTGGAGCCTAGTTACAATTCATCACAGCACTGTGACATTTTCTAATATGGGATTTGAAATCTCAAGGCCTTGCCATTAAAATTGAAAAATGTTATTACTTGGTCTTTCCATAGGATTAACATCTGATGAAATCTACATTAGAACGTCTCATAAGATCCCAAAGTAATATGTCAGTCTTAAATGTAAATCCTACAGAAAAACTGTTGTGAGCTGAGAAGACAGCAGAGGATCCAAGATCCAAGGCTCTAGATAATCTAAAGAGGCTGTGCAAAGAGGAATGATAAGATTCACAAGGTACGAAGTGATTACAGCAGTTATCAGTGACAGTTAACCCTGTTTGCTTTAAAAAAAACAAAAAACAAAAAAAAAAAACATACATTTACCCCCTGCTAAATAAATCTATCAATTCAAGATTGGATTTTCTACATTTTACAGCTCAGAAATGTTCCTGCATTATAAAGATCTGACAGGGTAGCTGGTAAACATAGGTGTTTATTTTTAGACTAGTCTCCTCCACTCAACACTCAAAGCAGATTAAGTGTTCAGTTATATAATACGACTGCTTAAACCCGTGAACCAAGCTGTCTCAAGTAAACTGATGGAAGGTATAATTTTAAACTTTAATTGAAGCACTATGGGAAACATCAATGTTCGGTTAGGTCACTACGAGGGCACACTGAGCTGAGGAGCATCCGCTACTCAGGACCTTCTGAAGAAAGTCAGTGGGTGAGCTACCTGTACAAGAAAAACAAAACATACTCCACAACAAATTCACTGAAAAACAATGTCAAAAAAAATCTTTATTTCTACAATTTCCAATTACAAACATCAACGGTATGAAAATAGACATCTTTTTCCCTTTTGCAAAAAAATTGAGATGTTAAGGCATGCAGAGCCTGACGTTTCAAAGTGAAACCATGTGCTAGTGAAGTTTTAAGGTCCCGTTAAAAATTAAGTATGGCTTCAGTGTCCCTGGTTGAAATCTTTTTTTTTTGTTGCATATTTGTATTTCTAAAAATCCCTTTCACCTCCTGTAAAGTGTCGAGTTATTCCTAAATGGCTTACCGGTTACGTAATGTGATTTGGGGGTTGATCCGGTCATCCCTTCTAACGATTACAAAGAACTGGTAGGAGAACCTGCTCCCATGTCTACATCCTATTACAAGTGACCAGAACACCGACACTCCATGGGACCTTTACAATTTCTTTCAAACATGAACATATTACATGAACAGATTAGGCAGACCCAAACATCATTCACACAGTTATCAAAAGCAAAAATAATAATTAATACAGAGTATTAATACTGTTCCTTAGTCATTTATCAGTCAACTATTCTGTAAAAATGCAAGTCAGTCATAAACAGAGCAAATCCTATAAGCTTGGCCAAACTAACAGCTTTTATGTCATATAGTAATAATGAAGAAAGAGTCAGAGTGTCCCACTGTTTTCTACATTCAGAGTCAGGGAATGTATCGGTTATCCTACTGGTTGGTACTCTGAGAAGAAGGTCCAACTGGAAGACATCAGCTGCAAACAACCCTTGCATTGTAGTCACAAACAGGACAAAGGCACACACTGGTGTACATCAGAAGGAGCGGAGACAGGCGAGTTCACCGACATGGGAGTCTCTTTGGTTAGAAAACTGCTGTAGGCCTGTTGGTGTGAGAAGCTGATTTGGTTTGAAACCCTTGAAGTTGTTTCATCGTATACATCACAGCACAATCCATCATTACAGTGTTCACCGTTAGAAAAAAATGATGAGTTGGTAACAATTCTTTGTTAATTCAGTTAAAAACACAAGTTAAAAATATGTCCAGTTGATTGTCAACCACTAAAAACAAAAAGTAGTAATTCCCCCAAAACAGGGAAATGAAGATTGAAATAAATTAGACTTGTGGGACTTCTAAAAGCGCTATATACTCGAGTAGAACAAAGAATAAGACTATTTGGTAACCGATAATACAATGTCAAACTCAAACACACGCAGACACGATGTTTACAGGATCAAGTAGTAGAGGTAAGTTATTCCCCATTAGCCCTTGGACTGAAATGAACAAACTGTGAAGAGGGGATGGATCAGAGCTACAGAGTCTTGGGGCTCCATGTTCAGTCGGGTGAGAGAAACTTAAACCGTTTTGGTTTGTCCTTAGAGAAAGGAAAACACAAGCTTTATTCAAACATTCAGTAACCAGGCAACAAGCCTTTGAGATGCCAGAGATGAAACAAAATGACTTCCCTCCATTAGGGAGAAGTCACTGTTATTGTGTTATGCAGTTTTCCCCCATGTCCTGCGCGTAACGATCCAGAATCACATTACGCAGTTCCTCAACATCCCGGCGGAGCTGTTGGGCTTCCACCAGCTTCTTCTGTAACACGTCTGGTTCCATCCAGTCCTCGTCCTGCTCTGAAACTGTTGGTGGAGCTGGGAAAAAACAAAAAAACAAAAACATCAATCACTCACCTTAAAACACACTGAAAGTTCTAAAGGAATGACAGAATTGTGGTGTAAAAAGCTTACAAGTGAGACCAAGCAGCAGAGAGAGGTTGGGGTCTTGTCCCCGGGCCCGCTGGGTCAGGATGCTGCAAAGGGAGCGCAGGTCGCTGAGACATGAGGCGATCTCAACATGCAACCGTTGTGTGAGATGGGCCCCTGCTGGCTGTAGGCCGGAGGAGGCCTGGTTAGAGATCCTCTGTTCTGGGTCACTCATCTGCTCCTGCAGCGTCAGATTCTGCTCCAGCAGTTCCTGGTTTTGGGCTGACAGCTACAGAAATAAAGAGACGGGGATAGAGAGGTCAGCATCTATCAAGAGATACAAAGAATTTAGAAATCAGCTGATCTTTAGTCTGACCGGAAGACAACTGGAAATAAAAAGTTGTACGCAGCCATTAATCACAAAACCTAAAAACTACAAGGCCACAGTAACACTCTTCAGTGTTGACAACAACACAACAACTGACAGAAGAGGACTGGAATAACTCAAATCAAAATGCAATTTAAAAAGAAACATTTTTTTCTACATGCTGTGGCGTTCATGTGGTTCATACATTGTTCCCACACAACGAGACTAACCGGTAACATAAAAAAAAAACCTGAACGTTTTACAGCAAAGTGCTTCAAATAAGCTTTAAACAATTATCACAGCATACAATGGATTTGGAAATATCAGCATCTCAAGTTAGAATCTACATTTTCTACAAAACAGACTTAAGACGGATACTAACATACTTCCACACACACACACACACTGTAGGGTTACCTCCATATAGAAGGAAATTAAATTTTTTTTAAATATTTTTCATAGATCCTATAGGTCATGGTAACACTGTTTCTGCACAGCCACAGCAAAATAAAAGCTGCCCCTCCTACACAATGAATAAAAATATATTTTCACACACAGTAAAGCATGAGGCAGAGCATACCGCGTATTTGTGCACTTATTCTAATCGGATTTTAAATTCAAAATGTACAATATACTGTAAAAACCAATGTTTCTAACTACTTGAAGTCTTGTTGTAAAGCTGGCTGATGCATGAAACTTACTGGTGGCTACAATGAGCTGCACTGCTTTCAATAGGAGGAAAACTGGAGAGACAACTGTCCAGTTTTGCCAACTTAGTCACTGTTGCTATTTCTGGGGACTTTTCAGACATCTCCACCAACTTTTTCTTTCTTTACAAAAGTGTTCATAGAGAAATCTAATGATTTTCCTCTGAGTTGTTGGCGGGTTTAGTGACTTCATGTGAAAGCAGCAATCGTTCTACCATTACCGTCTCACTGCAACTGCTCCCCAAGTGCTGTCTCACAGGTATCCTGATAGCCTTGCATTCAGGCAGATGAGACCTGCTCCGTTTTCATACAGCTAATGGATAACACATACTTAAAGCTGAAAGATATACATTATTACAGCTTTAAACTATATCATTTTTTTTTGTTTTATCTAGACAAAGTGATGCTCTGATAATCATCTATTATCACACAGCTTGAATCAGCCTTGTAATGCATGTGCTTTATAATACTGTATTTGACCAAATTAGCTGCATGCAGAGTAGATTCAGGCAATAAAATATAGAGGGGAAATCCTGAATCATTCTCTCTCTCTCTCCTATCTATCTATCTATCTATATATATATATATGAATAAAAATTTGATCCTTCCCCTGCCCCCATTCGCCTTGCACCATGGTTTGAGTGGCATTTGAAAAAATTTTAATATGTTTAAAATATTTGAATATTTTCTCTGAGAGAGGGCTTTTATTATCGAGCTATGGATCAGTTCCTTTCTCCTAATATTCCCGCACTCCTTGAGAAGCTCCCTAAATGCTTAAAAACATTTTAATTCACAGCGATCTAAAGACTGGGGTTATCCCTCTTGCTAGTGTACCTTTTTAACCGCACTATATACTGTCCAATTAGGTTATTCTCAATGATACTCCTCTGGATGATATGATTCTATCTCAGACTGACCCAGATAAACATCTCCATGTGTTTCAAGTTAATTAGAAGATTAGGACGGGACAGCATGATTTTTTAATACTGAACAATTTTTTTCATATAATAATTTTCTAAATGTTGAAATAGAATTTTTTACGATCTGGAAGCTAGCTATAGCTGAATGAGTTTCCCCATTTTAGAAATGCGAGAAAAAAAAATTAAAACCTTTTAATGTATTCTGGTTTTCAGAGTTACCTAAAGGTGCATATATAAATGGTTTTCTCTATTTTCTATCAGTTTCTCACCTCCTTCATGGCTGTGTGGAGCTCTAAGACGTTCTGATCTTTGGCAAGCACCTCCTCTCTTAGAGCCTGAGAGCTGCTTTCCTCTTGAGAGATCTGCTCCTCTAAAGCCTAGACAGGCAGCCCCAAGGAAGGTTAATATAATATTCAAACTACTACAATCTGTAATATTTTGTGTCATTTTACAAGAGAAACACCTGAATTTGAGATCCAAGCTGTTCCATCATTCGGTGTTGCTTCTCAATAACCTGCAGGGAGAAAGAAGATGCAACATTACACATTCATCCTTACTAACAGCCTCAACTTCAAATCTTTGAAACCATTTTTTTTTTAAACAATCTGAAACTAAATACAATATTTTGGAGGATTTTATCTACAGTTTGTTAAATCTCATTAATTGCTCATAACATTCTGAGCTCAAGGGATATTTTCAGGACTATTTCTATGAAACACACAGTAGCTAGCAGCAGTTACAACACAATCTTGACTTTCTAAAATCATGAAGATGAAACAAAACAAACAAAAAAGTATTAGAAAAAAATTTTAATTTGCATTTTAATGTCTTAAGCTTGAACATATTAAAACTTATGTGCTATAGCGATGTGGGGCCTGGTTATAAACGTGATGGAAAGTTGGAGTTGAACTTTTGAGCTCCTAGTATTTTTAATAAAGGCTCAAATCTAACAGAGGTTTGTTACTGAAAATTACTGAACAAATTAGGACTGCACTAATGATTATTTTGCAAATCGATTAATCCGTTGATCCCAATAATGGATTAATCAGATAGCAAAAGAATATTCTTGCAAAATTAAACCAGGTGAAACTAAATCTTTTCCACTTGAAGAGTTCTAGATAGAGCATATTGACAGACCAAAAATATTTGTTTCCTTTAATCTTGAATATAACATTTTTTTAGATTACAATTATTTGATTACTAAATTAGGTGACAATTATTTCAATAATCGATTAATCATGATTAAATCAATACACTGTTTCAGCTCTAGAACAAATGCCATCCTAAAGATTGATGAACCAAATGACCAAAACTAATATCGTGGTAGATTTTTAAACTTCTGTGAATAAAAGATCAATCGATATTGATCTACACATGAAAGCATCACAATGACCCCTGTGACATCACAATTCCTGTACTAACTTATGAAAATTATTTCGCTGTAAACATCTCTCTCTCCTCATATTTTAGTCCACATGTTCCTGTCACATTCAGTTTCTGTTTTTGTCTCCTTTATTTTTATTACTTTTATAACTTTAAATGACAAACACACCTAAGACTGAAAGTTAATAAATCCATATAATGAATTAGCAAAATAACTCTAAGTAGCTCTGAAAGGTCCTGTCAATTCTAAAACATCGAAATTTCCACGAACCTTTAATGGCACTGAAGGCAGAGCTTTGCATCTTTAATAAAACAAAATACATTCTGGCCCTTATTTTTTCTTCCTTTTTTAAACAAAAGGCACAGCAAACATTCAATAGCAGTTGTATGTCCTGGTGCAAACCAAACCATTATCATGGCAAAGATCAGCTCAGTTAAAACTAAATGAATCAATTCAGACATCCTATATTATCCCAGGACAGCTCCCTGCCAGGATGACGAGTTGAGCATCATGATACAGTTTACACATCATTCATAAGATGCTAAAATCTGAAGCATTTTTTTAGGACGTCTTTTATCAGGTAAAGGAGAGGTTTGGTAACCTTATCAATGCCAATCATTTTGTTGCTATAACATACCCTGCTGAAGCTGTGCGCAGCTTACAGCTAGAGTCACAGGCTCCGTGTCAAAAACTTATACTGAAAATGTAGTTAAACGTCACATAGAATAAAATTATATTACAATATTGATAAACTATTGTCCAGCTTAGCAGGACAACTAAGCCGGATTATCATAATAATCACCATTTTGATACAATCAATACTAGATAAAGGAATTATTCAAAGATAATGACCCATTCACATCCAACCACATTTCTGGCACTTCATCCGGCAGCAACCCCCACCCCCACTCCCACTCCCACCCAGCAGCTTCAAAACAATTAGCTTCACTGAGACGGAAAGACCAAGGATAGCACTGTCCGTCTGAGCATCCTAATCCAGATGTGCTTCTAAGATAAACAGTTTTTGCATTCTAGTTTCTAGCTTTTGGTATCAGCTATTTGATTATTCAGCTAATGAATAGCAATGCAACAAAAGAAACCGCTTTCATTAGTTCCTTAGTTTAGTTGTAGAGGCATTGGAGGCTAAGGATAACATAGGATACGGTGAAATGGTCGATTAAAAGAAAGGAGAAAAAAAAAAGAAAAAGAAAAAACGAGCACAAATTTGATTTCAGCCAGCCAATCATAAATCTGTCTCCAAGCAGTCAAGGAGGGAAAAGATGCAGAAAATGTATTTTAGGGGGTGGAAATAGGATTTTTGTTTCATAAATGTAAAAAATTAGCGTATGTCTGCAAAGTGAGTGTTGGTAAAATATGCTAAGCTGCATTTCTCCAAAGTTCATGACCACTTCTCTAAGCTTTTTCTAAAGGGCAAGCCTCTTTTATAAGTGAAGGTAAAAGAACGCTACATCTTTGTTTATAAAACCCACAAAAAAGGAGAGCCCAATTACTTCAAAAGTCAAAGTGGAACACACTGAGCACAAAAATCATTCCCAGAATGCCGAACTATTAGAGGTTTTGACCGCTGTGATGGAATCTTCTTCTGGAACCACAGGAGTAAATCAGAGATTCTTTCTGCATTTGCTGGGGGCTGACGCCTCTATGTCAGTGTGTCATTTACATTTCTGAACTTTGCTGTTCCAGCTTTATAAAAGAGTCCTTTAAAGATCCACATGACCAAACTGCTGTACACAAATATCTAGCAACATGCAATTTACACACAGACAGATGCCCTCCTTCCAATCTGGCTCAGTTAAAACTATTAAAAAAAAAAAAACAATAAGAAAAAAAATGTGTTATTCTGACCAGTAGAGACAAGGATGGAAAATTCTTGCAGCTGTGGCTGCAGCACAAGTTGGTTTCAGACAGAACTGATTCAGGGAGACTAAATGCAAGCACACAAAAACAATAAAACCCATTTTTTCCAGAGACTTTTGTAAGCCTAATACATACATACTAAATGGACAAAAAAAATAAGTGTTTGAATGCTTTTGCAGGACACAGCTACAGCTATATCTGAAAACCCACTGCTTCAAAAAGTATTTAGAAACTAATTTAATACACTCTCAACCTCCCTACCTCCATATGCACAGCTTTACCATAACATACACACCTTTTTGAGTCTCTGCTGCTCCTCTCTTAAAGCGTTGTTCTCTCCTCTAAGCTTCTCGATATCCAGACATGGGAGTCTGGCTCCGTCCTCGAGGCCCTGCTGCACACGCTGCTGCATACTGATGAAAGACGGAATTACCTTTCTCTTTATAAACTCTTAAACACAGGCCGCAGAGAGAGGATTGCCCATTTCTTACTTACTCCGTAATGGTTGTCAGCAGGTCTCTCTCCCTGCGTTTCTGCTCCTCCAGCAGAGCATCTTTCTCTTGAAGTTGTGAGTGGGTTTTCTCCAAAGTGGCCTCTAGTTCTTTCACTTTTTCTTGTAGCTGAGCCGTCTGCTGCTCTGCTTCAACAAGCTGGTGTCAAAAGCACACAAGTTCTTCAAGTTCAGGTTTTATATTCCACACAGTCAGATTTCTATGCAGCAGAGCCCATCAAAATAGATGGGTTCCGATTAGTGACCCATTCTTACCTGCTTATTCTGAGTCTGGTAATCCTCCAAGGTGGGCAGGTCAGCTAGGTAGCGCTCTAAGGTTTCAATACGCTGCTGGTTCTCCCTCTTTAGTTCTGTCTCCTTTTGACATTTCTTCTTGAGGTTGTTTATGTGTTTGTCTCGACTGCGGATCTACAGAAACAACCGAGAGAGTCACAGAGAATTGTACGATCTGTAATGGTTATTACAGCCATTTGGAAAACACTGAAAGTCAAACACAATAAAAGTTTCAGGGAAGTTCTCTCGCAGATCTTGTACTGTTAAAACTGGGAAGTTAATTGTAGACAGAAAGCTATGATAACCAATAATTACATTTCTACTCCTCTGGTAAAGTTCATGTATGGTTCAAACATCTCTAGCTTCTGATAAATCCTTCAGTTTACCAACGGAAGTTAAAGAGGTTAAATGATACTGCTTGATACTAAAGAGGAAGGAGCATTTTGCAGCTGAGTTCAGTTCCCCTGTAATTCTGTGGTTGCCTTGATTGCAACACTAGCATTAGGTAGAGATGTGAAATGCGCACTAACCCTCTCTTCCTGTTTCTTCATTTCCTCTGCATGCCTCTCACAGGCTTCCTTTAAACTCTCCGTCAGTCGGCGTGTCTCTGCTTCGACTGCACCGAGCCTTCGCTCTGCCTCTGCTTTCTCCAGGGCAGCGCAGTCGGTGCGTTCAGCAAACTGAGCTCGGAGGAACGCGTTCTCCCTCTGAGCCTCCTACGTGCGATAAGAGGGAATCAGTGGAGGATTTTTTTATTTATTTATTTTTATAAAAATGCATAAAGCTTCAAAGCAAAATACATACAACACAATTATGATACAGAGTGTAGTGAAACAGAATGATGTGTACCAACCTGAAGACGCAGAACAAACATATCACTGTAAGAAGCCCTTTGACCCAGCAGGGCTCCGTGAACTTGAAGTTCACTTTCCCTTAGGCGCTGTTCCAGCTGGGCCATTTGTTGCTTTTGTCTGCATCATGGACAGATCCAACCATCAGAAAACCAGTCCACCATTAGGAATCATTGGATAAAGTATTTAAATTAGCTCGGTTTAGATTACTGGACAAGATTCTTTTTAACAGTATGAATTAATCTGTTAGAAACACTTGCCTCTCAATGATAAGCTCCTTCTCCTTGAGCAGACTCTCGCTGGCTTTAACCAGAGCATCCCACTTGCCTGAGTCTGAGTGCAGCGGGGTGGAATACAGGGACGGGTATTGACTCACTCCAGCATTCATTAACTAAATTTGAAACAAGACAAAAAGTAAACATCTACATTACAGAATTTATGATGGATTATAAATCTGATGTCTCCAATAATCCAAGCCAGATTTGTAAATGAGGATTTTAAATCTCCACTGGTCTTTCCTGGTTAATTAAAGCAATACATAGATTTACAAAGTCACATTTATAATCCTGTAAAAGTTCCACAGCATGCTAGAGCCGCTCTATTTTCCAGGACATCTGTTTCTTCCTTACAGTCAAGATGGGTTTTAAACCTTTGTCCAGAGATGAGCTCTCAGCACCGAGCTGTAACCTAAAATTCACTTTCTTCTGCCCAAAGGTCAAGGGAATAAGAAACATTTATATGCTCTTTAGAAAATGTTTATTTGAAACCATATTAACATGAAGAAAGGTTAATTCCTCCTAGATATTCTAAGATCGTGATGTAGAAGTCCACAAATGTAATTCTCTTCTGTCAGAAGGTGTTAAAAACAGATTATTTGGTTTTAAAAGAATCATGTTCGTAAAAGGAATTAGAATTTAACATTCACAATATTTGCCTTTTTTAACCAATTTTTACATGAGCATGTTTCAAGAAGCACAGATAACTTGGTCTTTCAAGTTCCTGCCAACATCATGTAATTGTGCTAAGCTAACTGTGTGCTGTGGTTAATTCCCACCTGCTTTAGTGAGACCTTGTTTTCAAATGACTTCAAGCATCTCTATCCAGGTTAGTTATCTAATTTATCCAACATTTTTTCTGGAAATCAGTATCTAGCCAAATTTTTATGTTCATAAAAGTAAAAAGAAACACCTTTTAACCTTTATAATCGCAGAAATTATTTATTTTTAGCTTGACCTAGCAGCTAAAACCAGCTGAACTTGCCAGTTTCCCATAGCCTCAGATTCTAACATTTGCACAAGTAGAGTATAGGAAGAACAGCTGAAAAAATTTTCTAATATGCTTACCTGCATTTGTTCCACTTGTAGGCGTAAAGTCTCCAGCTGCTGTTTTTGCTGCCAGCTAGAAAGTTCACTACATCTGTCCTGCCTCAGTGGATCGTAACTTTTGGGACTAGTATGCTCCCTCAGCAGAGCCTGAGTCTGCAGACTGAGCGGGGTTGAAAAGCTCCCAGCGGATCCAGCAGCACCGGGCTGACTACCCCTCTGACTAGAGCTTTCAGTGATTCCAGAGAGGCCGGGTCTTGCTTCAGGCAGTACCTTGTAGCTCTGATCCATAGCTCCCCTGTAAGCCTCAGATACACAGTCTGGATGGTCTCTAATCCCAGTTGCCTGTAATCGGAGCCTGACATCAGGACATAACCCTCCTAGCAGGGCTGACTGATTCAGAGTAGGCTCCACAGCAGGTGTGTCAAACCTCTGTCCGTCATCAAGCCTTGTGTGATCTGTGGGGAAAAGTGAGTGGTCCAGTCCGTTGACCAGGCTGCGGTAGCGGCTTAGGCAGTCTGGTCTGGGTCCCACATGATCGGCTCCTGAAATGGGCTGAGCATCCAAATTGGGTGAAGAGGCCGATTTGGAGAGTGAGGAAGACTTTGATGTGGAGCCACTCGGGGTTCTTGAACCAGACGATGACCTGTGTCCATCAGTTGAGGACAAAGGGTCCTCCTGGCCAAATGAGCGGGACTTTGAGGCCGAAGCGCCGGCTGTGGATGGCATGACATGTGCAGTGGGGATGGGAATCTGACTGCGGATGGGCTGGAAAGAGGGGCTGCTGCTAACACTGCAGAAATCTAAAAAAATAAATAAAAATAACACAGAAAGAAAATTTTAAGATATATTGTGTAAAAGCTTTTATTCCTATAATTTCATATGCAAACAAACTTTGCTTGATCAGTCCAGAGCAAAGAGAGCTCCAGGTTTCTGCATTTTCAGATTCTGAATAAAATAGATAGAGCAGGGTTTATGGGTGACCTACTTTGATCAGGTGTCACCTCTGAAAGAATTAACAGGCTCTGACTGACTCAACTAAGGGAATAGGCTTAGAATAGACTTAAAGCAATGCTAAGAATGAATGCTCTACTTCCGCCAAAAACAAATATGTCAGGGAGTTGAATTAAGAATCTCCATGTTAAAATAGAGATACATAAACAAACAAACAGTTCTCTGCACCAGCACCCTTAGACTATGCAGAAGTACATGCTAAACCCATCTGACTAAACATCCAAAATGTTACCTACCTTTATATGAACAACTGAGAGATCATACTAAGCACAACAAAGCACCAGCAAGAAAATTAACCAACCATGAGGTTGGTTAAAACAAAATCTAAAATTAGCCTGTAGCTCAGTAAACAAACCTGAGAGATCTGTTGAAGTCTGAAAGCCGGGGAGACGCTCCAACTCAAACAGCTTGTTGACTGTGACATTTTCTCCTAAAGCTGAACTGGGGTTAGCTTAGCTTTAAAGTGCGCCGAATCAAAACAGGAAACAGTCTTTTGCATATTCAGGCACCACTGAAACTACCTGCCGAGCGTAGACTGATGGCTCCGTGACGAGCGGACCCTTTACTCAAATCTGTATTGTCCTTAAAATAATAATAAGCCAAACCAGCCTCGACTGGGCTTTGAGCATATGCATACAAACAAGCATACACAGGAAAGGTTAGGGGTATTTATAGCCCGCCTCTCCAGTTACAGAGTGATCGTTTGGCGCCGCTTATTTAAGCACCTTGCCTCCTCCCAGTGTTAAACTGGGAGGAGGCAAGGAAATATGAAATATCTTAAACGTCAACAGCAGATTAAAACTGCAGTCTATACAGTGGCAAACCAGGGATTAGCAAACTGGTAATACATGAGAGCAAGATCAGAATTTCAAATGAATAAATCATCAAATGTATTTAAAAAAAAAAAAAAAAAAAAAAGGCCTTCAGGCACTACTGATTCATGAATAGCTACAACAAGTCTAAACCATTCTATGATGAGCCATTTGCTCAGCAGACATTCCTGCCTTTAAAAATCTATACTGGAACCAAAATGTTCTTCACTCCAGTTTCATATCAAAGATTAATCTATGCAATCAAGACAAATAAAGATATAGAAATTAGAACCTTGTCTTTGCTAGAAACAGAAGTGATAGATGCATTTGCTATACTAGGAAGAGGTAAATAATTAAAATGAATGAAGAAAACAGTAAAACTGATGTTAAATTTACCAAAAAAAAATCAGGGCTTCAAATCTACTCATTTAAAGTCATTCTGTGCACGAAAATGTTCTTCATATTAAAAAACAATATAGTTTTTGAAATCTGGAGCTAAAAGCTAATAACTAATAAACTAGGAACTCCGAGCAGTTTTCATCTAATAACACATTTACCGACAATATATAGAACATGTACTTAAAATTACTTCTTCAGAGTTCGATCTCTGAAAAAAATAAGGGTAAGATTGAGACATATGCAGAAATTAAGATCATTTGGTAATTCCTATAAATTGTGTTGGATTCAGATATCAATTTCTAGGAAATTATTAAAAATTGGTCACATTATTAACAAAATCAAAGGTAATTTGCACGTAAATCACATCTAAAACACCTACTCCTTACCTGTACTACAAATACTACTGGAGAAAACGTAGTAAACAAAAATGCCTTAATAACTTTACAATTCAAAACATTTTGAGTCGACACATTTGGTTTGTTATTAGGAGACGTAGTACGCTGGATAAAGCGGTACACAGACCTTTAGAATCACAAGTTACAGACCACTGATCTAATGTTTATTTCAAGGATAGCCCCTTGAGATGCATCATCTCTTTTTCCAGGGGGCGTTCCTTACAGAACAAGGATATAATCAATGCTAAAAATACTGAAAATATGTGAATCCAAAAACACAATCCAAGAAACTTACACACTGTCTCCAAACGCCATACTCACACAAAGCCCCGACCACTGCTCCCACTGGCCTAGCAAGCTAGTGGAGCAATGTATCTGATAACTTTAGATAAAATACAAGTTCAAAGATAATTCCTTTGATCAATCAGTCATCCTATGAATGATGACGGATGGTTTACAGATGCTGTTAGTATCTCATGGTACAAAAAGTTGCAAGAAATCAACTAATTACATCATAAACAAACCATATAGAGTTCAGTTTGTCCAAACTGAACAACTTTGTTAAGCTCTATCCTAACAGCTTCACTTTGCTTCTGATACAGTCAGTTCTTTTACTGCCTTTCCTGTGGAAACTAGAACCACCCATCCCAGGTGGCCATTCATAACAGACCACATATGAGCATCATATTTTTTCATGATGTTCTAACACCGGAACCACCCCAACAAGGATATTTCCATTCAAAAGCATAATATGTGGCAAAACAAAACAATTACGCGTTTCCACACCCAATACAAGGACTACTCCCTGTTCAGCTGGTCACTGGTGGTGTCCCCACAGCCCATCAGCTCAACACAGCAGTACAGTCCAATCTTGGATCAGTTGTTGATGGAACATTATTTCCATAAACCCCACCAGCATTGATTACAAGTCTCCTCTGTCCTTTATAAATAGCCAAGTAAACAAAAAGCAAATACCATCTTTTGATTTCTGCAAACTAAAAAGGAGGGCATGTATCTAAGCACCCTTCCATCTGCAATAACTGCCAAGAACAAGTGCAAGCTGCGGTCAAATCCAGGCCTTCTTTAGAATAATATTGCACAACACCTGCTACAGGCTAAAGAAGAGCTATCAAAAGTCATCACCTTCCGTGCTGTCAGACGCTGAAGTGCCGATCCCAGTGTCCCCGCTGTCTGATGTTCCAGGTCGGCGGCCAAAACGGCTTTGGAACTTCTCTGAAACAGCTGGCGTCTGCCACTCCATGTCAGCGGGCTGACCTGATGTGTGTTTGCATATGAAAGGAACAATGACGGTGGAGGGTTATATCAACACAGGAGGAAATGATGCCGCATGTCAACGTTTTAACAGCTGAGCAAAGGGTTTGGACTAATATTCACTGTGTCGTTTTCATTTCATTTAAAGAAAATTTCACATGATTGTTTCTTATTTATACATACACACACGTATAAATTATTATTCTTGTGTTCCAAACATTCCCTTTACTGTATATAGTCTGATAGACCTATGAATATGCTGAGATTGTTTTTTTATTTTGTTCTCTCCATACTGTAACATCTAAAACAAGGTGGTGTGTGTTTGAAATCATCCCCATCTACCATCATACCTTTTACTAAAACCCAGTACAACCTAATCAACAATGCATTTTAACCTGATATTAAATACAGCTATTCTGACAGGACTTTAGGTATTTGCTACAAAATACAATTCAATTCAGTTCATTTATATAGTGCCAATTCACAACACATGTCATCTCAAGGCACTTTACAGTTCACCAGATCATACAGTCAAATTGATTCAAAAGTTTTCTATCTGAGAAAAACCAGTTGATTTCATCGAGTCATTGACTAGGATGCAATCCCTCACACTAAGCATGCTTGTAGCGACAGTGGAGAGGAAAAACTCCCTTTTAACAGGAAGAAACCTCCAGCTTCAAGTTATCATGATTAACTCTCAAACATATCTCAGATAGGTCATGAGATAGGGAAGTTTTGATTTAGGAAATTTAATTTCGTTATGCTTATAAATGAAAAATTTAGCAAATTTTTTTCCTAAATAACTTCACAGCGTGTGGCTTAGTTCATCCACATAAAACCCATGATGACTTTGGGGGAGCTTAATGGACCTATCAGCCAGATAAGATGGGACAACTGAATTATGTAATAAAAAAAAGCATTGTTTGTGAAAGATCAGCATTAAGCAAACCATTGACAAAAGTCAAAAAGGGTTAAATTTGACTTTTACTACATGGCATGTAAGGGAAGGACAAGAGGCAGGCCGCAGGAGTTCTGATCAGATACAATTCAAACTGACAATCGTAACTTTTATGCAAAATAGTGTGAGTGGTGCAAAACTAATTCTGAACATCCACATTGACACATCCTCTTCACCCCTGGCGAGTAAGCACTACAGGACTGTTACAAGTTTTAAAAGGCAAAGTACTTTAGGGAGGTACTTGATGTGAGGTTCTCCAACACATACTTTGTCTCAATTGAGTTTATAGGTCATATATTCATCCTAAGTATCCACATCTGAACGCGGTTAACAGATATTATTAACATTGCATCACATTGAAAATTAATAACAGGGGTTTTGTAACAGGACTCAGCAGCTGCTCACAAACAGGACTTGTTGTTCTAAGTTACTACAAAAATAACAACATGGGCACATGTCTTACATAACCGCTCACAAAAAAAAAAAAAAATCTGTTTATGTGGCTGCGACCCCGTACGTTGTTTTAGGAAGGCAGATAAAAAGAAATACGGTAGATATAAAGCAAATAATGAGCAGCCAGGAAGTTAGAAGTAACCTTAACGAGTAGCTAATTCAAAAAGGAAATGCCTCTTTAACGAGCCAAAGCCAGAGCAGAGCTAACCACGAGTAACAGTAACTAAAACCGATGCTGTAATTAGCATTTATATAAGCTTTGTTCTACAAATTATTAAATAAGGCAATGTTTCTTATAATGAAATAAATTATGCTTTCTGGTTTTGATGTAGAGGGATGTGCGGCACCGATAAGCTTTAAGGCTAATCCGTGTCAAATCCGCTTCCGTCGAACAAGCTAACGGCTAACTCCGCGCTGCGATTTACTCAGCGAAAGAAGTTCCTACAGCCTTCCAGACAGACTGTGTGATTAAATTCAAAGATAAATGGTTATCATTAACCAGTGCTTAAAATGGTTTAACCTTACCAAACTCTACGTGATGACAAATTGCATGAGTAAATCTCGGATAAAGGCTCCTAGCTGATGCCGAATCTGGACCATCCACTGCTGCTGCCCGTTGCTCCGCTAGCCAACGGACGGATCCTCACCAAGACAACCTTCAAGACACAAGGTGTGCTCGTTTTAATGCACTGCACCGCCCGCCAAACATACAGATTGTGTTAGTAGTGACTGCGACGTTGTATGTTCAAAATGTAAACAATTAAATTTCTGTAATTATACCGTTCCTCGTTTGTTTTGTGTTTCATCTTTAAATATATGTGCGATTATATTAAGAATAAGACAAACAAACACGTACATTTTCAAACGGATCCTATTGTACATGAAAACAAACAAACCCAATTAAGACAACCTCATAAATATAGAATAACATCCTCGGGGATGTTTAAACCGATTTTAATTTTTAAACAAATTAACTACACAGGGCGGGCCGAATATTATGCTTAGTTTAAAGTGTAAAGCAAATGATATTGAGATAAACATTCGAATAACATCTTGATCTTCTTTAGATAAAAAAAAAAAAAACCCTTATAGTTTTGTTCATGTTTTCAAAGTAACCACTATATAGTATATAGAGAAAATCATTGCCTGTGTAAATACCCATTCATCCAGTTTATAGCAACCACAAAAACAGGCTTAAATCAAATCACATTAAAAATGTTAAAATGGTCCTGGCCCCTGGGCTAAAGGCATGACACTAAGTAATTGTCTAATTATAATATAAGCTGACACAGACATTTCTTTTTATTTCATTGTTTGTTTTTATTTTTACATTTCATTATAATGATAAAAATTTAGGTTTTTCCATGTTTAGCTTCTGTCATATTCAGACAGGCTCAAGTTTTTATCTGCTAAATATCTAGTGTCCATGGGTGTAAGTGGCTTTTTCGGCTAATTTAATATTTCAAACTGCTTTTTTTTATTTAGATATATCATTGTTTTGTGAGTTTCTTTTTTATTCTTTTGCTAAGTGCCTCCATTAAAAAATGCTGGACCCATTTTAGTTTAATTTACTTTAGAACTGCCACTGCAGTAAGTTTTTGCCAATTTAATCCTTTGCCAGTTTGCTGCTGAGCGGTTTTAATCCACTGTGCTGTTCCCTCTTAACTTTTTTTTTTTTAAGTTAATCAAAAGGTGTAATCTTTTTCATAAAGAGACAACTAGCCCAAATGGAGCTCAGAAAATAGAAATAGGTCCAAACACTGAAAATAAATCAAAACATTTAGAGTTGAAATAAATATATATATATATATATATATATATAATTTAACCACAACAAAATATAGTATGCAATGGTTTAAATGCATAGGTACAAAGTTGTTTGCGTAAAGTTATTAAACAGAGAAGAGAGAACGGATGAGCAGGGGGAAACTGACCTAAAGCTTTTGCTGCTGGTCCAAACCCACATTTACCGGAGGGTTCCAGATGGGTTTTTCCATGTGTTATCTAACAAACTCCAGGTCATTTGCATATTCACATTTCATGCCGTTATAACCTAGATGGACCGTTCACATGGTTTTTGCTGATATGGGCTGTATTTTCCTAACTAAACAGCATTCCTTCCAAAATGGCTTACAGGTCAATCGTACTATGAAATCCATTCAGCCTGAGTAAAATCCACATAGGGCCTGTATGCACATGTTAACTAGGTTGGACTCAGTGGTGGTTCTAGGTAAATTAAGTATTACACTACAAAGAACTTATCTAAAAAAAAAAAAAGAAAATTTGCATTAGCCCTTTGTGCTGGGAAGTTACATTATCTACCAAATAAATTTGTATTTTTGCCCTTATAATAAGATAATCAGATATTATGTTTTTGAAATTGGATAATTTAGCTGTTTTTTTCTTATTTTAAACGTAAATAATCTTACTCTATTGGACAACTGTCTTACTTGGTCAAATAAATATCAAATATACTCAATTTAAGAAAATATTAATTAGATAGTAATTAAAATTTTTGCAGTGCACATTTTCAGTACAGGGCCATACACAGGGGCCAGGGCTACTTCCACTGGGGCAACGGCCCCTGGAGAACTGACAAATGTGCTTTCCTGTGAAAGGAAAGCAGATTTATTAGTGAGCTTATATTTGGCAGGAATCCACATAAATTATAAATGATCAAACTTTCTAATTGACTCAGCAATGTACAGACCATTTAATTTTTCTTTAAGCTGCTGTTGGGCAGTGAGCATAAGTTTTTGATGTATAGGAGCACCTAGGATCCACAGTGTTTATGAAGGATGTGAGATGGAAGCTACACTGAAAATAAAGAAAATAATTGGGTCCTTGGTAAATAAAGATAAATGTATGAAATAATCTAAGTGTGTCTTCTCTTTCCTGATAAATGCATTTTAAAAATATGTTACGGATACAAACAACATTGTCTGGCTATAGGAGCATTGTGGCCCCCATCAGGGACACTGCTGCAACAAAACTTCGATTTTCATGGTTTAAATAAGATTAATAATTGGTAAAAAAAATATTTCTTTATCAGGATTTTCGCTTCATGGCTACAAACATGCAGAAAATGGATACTGTGATGGCAAACTATGACATATCTTTAAATAAAAAGAAAAATAAATGATTTGTGTGGAAGTGCAATTGTAGGATCTCAGCAGTATTCATTTAAGCAAGTTATTAATATACTATACTTTGGCTTGTCCACGTTACTATAGGAAATTACACATAGTCAGAAGCTAGTTCTTTAAAATAAATTCAATAAATGTTTGTTTGATTTACATTAGACTTTGAATGAAAAATTTCATTAATCTAATCCTACATGAAAACAACAACTTGAGTGAGCAAGATTAAGTTGTATTTTTCCTCTTCTACTTCATAAATATTATTTAGAAATAACATTTAATTGTTAAACTTTCAGGAGCCTTGTGTGTGCTGCAGGACTGTAGTTTTGATTTTGATAAATATGCCTCAGGTTACCACCTTCTTGCTAAGTCATAGCAAAACTTCAGCTAATCTAAAATCTCTCAGTCTAATGTATTTAGCTGTTTTACTATTTTTATTTCACTACATATTAGAGATGCACGATATAATCGGCCCCC